GAGGAGAGGCAGGACGCAGAGAGACACGAGGAGAGTCAGGAAAGACAAAAGGTTGGTGTGTGTGTGTGGGTGTGTGTGTGTGTGTGTGTGTGTGTGTGTGTGTGTGTGTGTGTGTGTGTGTGTGTGTGTGTGTGTGTGTGTGTGCGCGTGTGTGTGTGTGTGTATGGGTATTGGCATGTGTCCAGAACACCCTGCTCTGTGCCACCCTCGCCTGATTCATGCTCCACCTTGAGCACCCTGATTAAAACACCCTGAACACACACAACAGCAATGATCCCTAAACATGCATATTATTATATATTAAATAAACTAAAAGGCTTATTATCATTCACAGAAACATGCAGTAGTGACGTATTCATGTTACAATAATTAGTTGCATCAAAAAAAGTAATCAGTGACCTAATATAAACCCAAAATAGAAATGTAATGTAACCTGGTAGTGCGACAGTGAAAGGAGTCCCCTGGGGAAGTATTTAAATGTGCACTCTGTAGTTTCAGGGAGAGGGGGATTTGTTGTTGTGTTGTTGTTGTTGTTGTGCTGTTATGTGTTACTCATGAGGGCCCCCATTGATCAGGTGCTTCAGCCCTATCACCTGATGCCTCTCTGTTACTTTTGGATTACCTCAATATCAAAAGCAATGCAAATAAAAACAAGAGAAAGTAAAACAATAGGATGTTTTTTACTGAAGTGTGTGAAACAACGTAACCTTAGAAAAGTAGAAACCAAGATGTTTCATTATTCAAAATGTAGTAACAGTAAAAAAAAAATCATTAATTAAAATAAAAATCTATTTTTCATTAATAAATCACGCGTCGACCCACGGCGTTATTTAAATAAAGAATAATTAAAGTACTAAACCATTAAATCAGTACCTTTAACACATCCATCTATATTTCTAAATGTATTCTAACATTGTAATCCTGATAGTAATCTCAATTAGACGGTAATCTGATTACTTATTTTTGTATGTAATTGTAATTGAATACAGTTACCTTTCTTATGTACCCTGATTATATAATCAAATGTAATCTACTACTCCCAAAGCCTTCATGCATATTATATATATTTAAAGGTTTAATAAAAACATGCAGTAATGACTAGCAGGCAGACACATGGTATTTGTTGGATTTACTTCAGATAATGTTGTGTATTTGTACAGGGAGATGTATATTCTGTGTATAGTAGTATTTCACATGCAGTTGCAGGGAATGGCCTGCTGTGTTTATCTCTGCTAGGCCTCAGTGTTGCCATAGAGCTGCCAGCTGACGACATATCCCCCTTTAATGGAGGTAAAGAGCCCCAAATGAACGAATTACCAACAACCTGTCAGTGTTTTCATGGCAGATTCTGCACATCTGGATAAGGATCCGGATCACTGAGCCCTGTTAGTATCCGACAGAGGAGCTGCATCATCGGGCATCCATACCCTCACATATGTACCTGGGCTAGGATAGTGCAACGTAATAACAAATGCATGCACTTATCCTGCTCGAATCGCCATTATAGCATCAATAATACACCCAAAACACCCTGAATTGAGGTGTGCTAAATAACATTTTGCGGATATTATGATGGAAACTGAAACATGGTTGCGGGCTATGACATTATGTAATGCATGATTATAATATTCATTCTCAGTGTTATTGATGGTCAACTGGTCAGATCCCTGATGTATTATGACCTAATTATAAAGGAAAGACAATTAGCCTAAGACGACATGGGAGGAGATATCCAAATGCTCGCTAAATTGAATCCTGCTCTGGAAAACTTTGTTTTAAGCTGGACTTGGTAATTGCGAAAGTTATATAAGCATAATAAAAATAACATTTATGTGAATGAATACACTCTACTTTACAATTCGGCGTGCATTATATTTCCAAACATGCCCTACCTTTTTTTAAATGTCATTTTTTGAGCTGCTTCAGCCCTTATTTCCACTAGCTTCCTCTGACCAAAACACAACGTGGCGCCTGATGACGGATGGTGGGGAAACGGCTAAATATGGGATTTTATATTATTATAATGTTTTATAGTAAACTAAACACACCCCGAATTTAAGAAAAACTTGTATTTGATCCTAAACAATAAGTAAAGTCTATTTTTAAAGCACCTATAGTGTTCAATTATTGTGAAATTGTGAAATTTTCACATTTGTTACGGTAGTTTGGTGAAGCTTCGCTACATGCAACACATACGACATTAAATTAGAACCAAGCTATTTAAACCACGATGGTTGCATTTTTAGATGAATTTGCATAAAGTTACCTTTGCGAACAGAAGAGCAGGGGGGGGTGTTCAGGCGATGCAGCTATCCGGCGGAGAGAGCCTCTGCCCGGGCACCAGCCTGCTGTCAGAGCCGATAACAGCAGCGGAGGATCCAGGAAGAGGAGGGAGAAGTACTCAGGTACTAAAGTACAAGTACTCAGATCATGTAGTAAAGTATAAGTACTCAGATCATGTAGTAAAAGTAGAAGTAGTCAGATCTTGTAGTTGAGTAAAAGTATAAGTACTCAGGTCTTGTACTTGAGTAAAAGTAGAAGTACTCAGATATTGTAGTTAAAGTATAAGTACTCAGATCTTGTACTTGAGTAAAAGTAGAAGCACTCAGGTCTTGTAGTTAAAGTACTTGTACTCAGATCTTGTAGTTAAAGTATAAGTACTCAGGTCTTGTAGTTAAAGTACTTGTACTCAGATCTTGTAGTTAAAGTATAAGTACTCAGATCTTGTACTTGAGTAAAAGTAGAAGTACTCAGGTCTTGTAGTTAAAGTAGCCTACTTGTACTCAGATCTTGTACTTGAGTAAAAGTAGAAGTACTCAGATGGTGTACTTGAGTATGTTTTACTTACATATTTAACTGTAACATATGAAGTGTATACTTAAGATGTTATAAATGTAAGACCGGTAAGAGAAGTGTAAATAGTAAGGTTGTGTCCACTGAACAGATTAAAAACACACATTAAAGACGGTTCAACCTTTTTTTATTAGTACTTCATCCTAAAAGACCATCAGACAGGGACTGGCTGTTTGTTAAAGGCACATCAGGTTTGTTTATGTACAAACAATCCAAAGGTATAGACAAGTCCTGGGTTAAATCCTCACCTTGTGCATTCTTCTACTTAGCAAAAACTAGTTTTAAAAGCTCATATGTACACACTTATTCAAAAGAAAACACCCGTGGTATTCATGTTCTGCACATACACACATGCAGAAGTGATATGTCCCATGTTTTTACAGGATTTCACAGCAATACAGCAGAACAGATTGTTACTTGGTTGATTACCATCATTTCTCAAAGAACCAAATGATTAGAACATAAGGACAACGCCCGCAGAAACTTGAGCTACTTTCACTAACTGCTCTTTTAAACTCAGGTTTACCTGCAGTCCTTCCATCAGTATAACAACAGAGTTACGTCATACTAGTTTGACTTAATTATTTCAGTGGCTTACAAGAGGACAGGTTGGGGTTTTTGACAATTAAAACTAGGGCATCACGAGGGTCCGTATGTTTGTTGTTTCACTGCGTTCATCGATCAAGACAGCAGGTAAGCATGTACTTGGTTTCTATTAAGGTGAATAAAGTCTCAGCTCTTAAAGAATTACAATAAGTGATTTTTCCCAGACACTTAAAACACAACCAAAAGCAAAACACACCTCACACACAGCATCCATTAACACACACACACACACTTATTAAAAGGGTTTCAAACGTATCTTTGATTAAATGTAAACATGGATCCTCTGACGGCGAGAACAGGGCGATGTCTGCAGGAGTAACACGTGCAGAAACTAAACGAGTGCCATGAACCCAGGTGAACTAATGGTTAAAGCAACGACAAATGAAGGGAAGCAGAACTCAAACATGGAGAGGGTTTGAGTCAAAAAGTATTTCCTAAAATGTCAAATATATATAAATTGCACAAGAGCTCGTCGGTAAAAGCAGTTCCCTACATGCTGCACAGGAATAGATATTGGGTTATTATTTCTGTCCCTTATTCACTGCAGACCGTGTTTAATGACGTGGGAAGGAGCTTGTTGTCACTAAGATGTAATTAGTTATTGCTTTAAGTGCAACGTCCTTAAATGACCTGATGACTTTGCAGTTTACTACAAATAAAGGCTTTTATTTTGTCGTTCAAGCCGGTGTTTTTTGCAGAATCACTTCTTAAATTCGTCCGTATTTTATAGACCAGCGTCTTGTTTTAACTTCCACCTACAGCACTACGAGTTATCAAGACGTCTGGATCCAGATACTTCAATTATTGGTGCTTCCACAAAACAAAATAGATAATCCTTTGCTATGTGGTTAATAACAGAAAGCAGTCTTTAAAACCAGGGAAAGACACTTATTCAAATTCTTTTTTGAAAGTCAGAATTTTTTTTTTGTATCAATTTCTCTTTTTTTTTTAAGTGAGCTGGCCGGCTCTCTGGTGATTGGTCAACAGCTTAGAGACGTCCCGCCCCTTAGCCTATCACGTACAATGTGTCACTATAGGCTCAGGAACAGGGGATTTGAGCCTCTGCAGACCATTTACATGCACTAACAGCTATAGGACACTAGAGGAAGAGGGACAGCAGAAAGACGGGGGAGGGACTCTTTACATGAAGGTGTTTTTCCCTGGCATAGTGAGCAGACTAGGCGTGGTGCAGCACGGAGTTCTCCAGGCTGAAGTCGTACTGGAAGCTGCTCAGGTTGTAGCTCAGCTCTGGGTCCAGCAGCAGGTCTGGGATCAGCTGCAGGCTGGACATCACTGTGAGGACGTGAGGGGACAGAGAGAAGGGGACGTCCTCCAGGAGGTCCGGCAGGACGGAGGAAGACTCCCCCACTGAGGAAGAGGAGGAGGGGGGAGGAAGAGGAGGAGGGGGGGCGGGACGCTTTATATCAGAGGCGAGAGAGGGGTACGGACAGGAGGACTGAGGAAGAGGAGAGAGAGGGGTTTCATTTTATAATTAAAGAATGATACAAATAAATATATGTATGTTTTTATGAAACACACGTTAGAGTAAAAAGATAAACATTAAATACAAATATTTATTTAAACATAAAAAGTATTTGAGGTTAAATAAAATAAAGAAAAGAATATGTTTAGAAACATGGGAATGTGAAAATGTCTCACTGAGGGAGAGGGTTCAGTGGCAGGAGGAAGAGGAGGAGGACGAAGAGGAGGAAGAGGAGGGGCAGGACGCTTTACCTCAGAGGGGAGAGAGGGATACGGACAGGAGGACTGAGGAGGAAGAGGAGGAGGAGGAAGAGGAAGAGGCGGGGCGGGACGCTTTACCTCAGAGGGGAGAGAGGGGTACGGACAGGAGGACTGAGGAGGAAGAGGAGGAGGAAGAGGAGGAGGAAGAGGAGGATTTAATGATCACGAAGGAACTGTGAAAGTTAATCCATTTTATAATTAAAGAATGATAACAAAAAATAAAAAGAGAAATATATAATAAAATGTAAAACATCATATCTTATGGATAGTTTGTTGAATATCGAAGACTCAGAGATGAACATGAGCTCTTTGAGGAGACCTCACCTTGGGCGGCTGAATGATGACGTACCCTGAAGACGGCTGAGCGACGTTCAGACTCTTCCCCCTCTGCTCCTCCAGCGTCTCTCCTGGAGACCAGAGGACAGCGTTAATCACAAGGGACGAGAATCAGTAACTCAGAGAGACACGAGGAGAGTCAGGACTCAGAGAGACACGAGGAGAGTCAGGACTCAGAGAGACACGAGGAGAGTCAGGACTCAGAGAGACATGAGGAGAATCAGGAAAGACTCAAAGAGACACGAGGAGAGTCAGGACTCAGAGAGACACGAGGAGAGTCAGGACTCAGAGAGACACGAGGAGAGTCAGGACTCAGAGACACGAGGAGAGTCAGGAAAGACTCAAAGAGACACGAGGAGAGTCAGGACTCAGAGAGACACGAGGAGAGTCAGGACTGAGAGAGACACGAGGAGAGTCAGGACTCAGAGAGACACGAGGAGAGTCAGGACTCAGAGACACGAGGAGAGTCAGGAAAGACTCAAAGAGACACGAGGAGAGTCAGGAAAGACTCAAAGAGACACGAGGAGAGTCAGGACTCAGAGAGACACGAGGAGAGTCAGGACTCAGAGAGACACGAGGAGAGTCAGGACTCAGAGAGACACGAGGAGAGTCAGGAAAGACTCAAAGAGACACGAGGAGAGTCAGGACTCAGAGACACGAGGAGAGTCAGGACTCAGAGACACGAGGAGAGTCAGGAAAGACTCAAAGAGACACGGAGACACGAGGAGAGTCAGGACTCAGAGAGACACGAGGAGAGTCAGGACTCAGAGAGACACGAGGAGAGTCAGGAAAGACTCAAAGAGACACGAGGAGAGTCAGGACTCAGAGACACG